AATTATTCTAGGGTTAAAAAAAGGTTTAGGAAAATAAGGGAGTTCTATGGCAAATGTTACCGTTGAGTGTCAGGCATACAAATATGCTAGGCCATTTCCCTTCCTCGTCACCTTTCTTTCCTAGATCATTCCTAGATTATTCTGATAGCAGGGAAGCCATAGGCAACATACAGCCCAGGCACTACAGGCAGCTGTAGACAAAGTGCCTAACTGGTGTGTGCAGAGATAGGTGCTGTTATCATATCATAAAAGCGGCTGCTTTATGGTGCTGTCTGGGCAATACAGTTGAAAGAGCTAATGTTCCAAGCCTCACAGTAGTGACAGAAACATCAAAAGCGAAAGCAAACTTAGGTACCTGGGTATCATTTTTGATATAAACCTGTCCTTCAGGGATCATGTAGAAGCAATTACAGTGTAATGCCCAAAAGGACTCACCATCAAGATTATGGCAGCAATAAACATGCATTCAATAATGCTGTTCACAATGTTCCAGCATGTGATCCCATCAGTGATAGATTATGGACTCGGAATGCTTACCGTATCAAAAAGTCAGCTGATGAAACTTGAACACATACAGTATGAAATCATGTGGGTATTTCTGAAAGCCTACTATTTCAGATAGGCTCAAAGTTCTGCAAGCGAGTCACATCTCAGAGTAGCTGCTGACAAGAAGCACCTCCTGCATGAAGTCCTAGGTAGAGCTAAGGGTCACAGATTGAAAAGAGAAAGGTCTTGGATGGCGCAAGCTGAAGACACAATTAGACAGCTGTGCAGGCTTGATAAATTTGGGCGAGGAGAGAAGTGGGTCGGGTCTGAGCAAGAATCTGACTTATGTATGATTATCACTTTGTCAATGAATGCTGGGACTGGCCAGCTGCTGCTACAGAATCAGATCAACAAATGATTCATGACAATTCCCGCCCAGGTGATGTGATTATCTGTACAGATGGCTCTGTGTTGGGGGGAGGGGGTGCAGATGAAATGCATGGGGGTTTATAGCAAAAACGAATTGGCATCGCTTAGTGCAGCACAGCCAGCCATATGATATTACAATGCCTATTTTGAGAATGGAGGTGGAGGCGGTCACTGCTGCTTTTTACTGACTTTAGAATCAGCCATACACACACTGTAACTAACTCACAGAGAATGTTGAGAAAGGTAGAGACAGGTATGCTTCGTGCAGAGTGGTAAGCATCACTTTAGAGGTCCTGGGTAGTTAGCGTCCTTTGGATGATTTCTCCAGGTGATGCCCGTATGTTGGAAAATGAACTGGCAGATAGGCTGGCTGGTTCTGCAACAAGCTAGATATTGTGAGGGCCCTTTGGGAGCGAGTATACAGTGCGGAGGCACAAATAGATCATTATGGTCATAGGAGATTGGCATTGCGAGGATTTACCAGGGATCTGGCTGGCGCTCAACACTTAAAGGAAAGGCGAGATGAATATACAATTAGACAGGTACTGGTACCATCGGAATTCGAACTCTTTGCCTGCTGCTAAAAATTGGGACAAAGCACGGATGGGAATGGCTTTTATGACAGAGAACAGGAATAAATGTTAAAAATATATTTATAGTTGTAAATTTTTTTTTTTCAAAATGTGTAAAGACATCTAAAATGGTAATCAATAAACATAAACAGAGTGAAGAATTAAATGGAGTACATTCACCAGGACCTTAAAAACATTATTGGGGAACTCATGGTATGATCCCATGACTTCTATCACTGAGGTTCAGGGGAAAATGTTACATGAGATTTGCTTTTAAAAAAGCTATGGGGTAATAAGGAACCCATCCCTTCCCTTTTCCCCCAGTTGCTATTTCTAGTTACTGTAGTCATATCCTCATCTTCTTCAGAAGAGACCGGGAGGAAGAAAGTGTAGTAAAGATGAACTTGAATAAAATCATAAGCATATTTATAGCATAAAATCCAGACAGGCCTGGGAATAATACAGATTCATTATTTGGTCTTAAAATTATGTTATTGTACTTTCATGTTGCATTAATTGGTAAACTGTGTCTGGTTGTAATATTTCTCATATCAGATAAGTTCTCCATGAAAATGATCCAGTATCTATTTTATCAAACATTTTTCTACCCATTTTGTTGTAGTGTTTGTTGAAAACGGCTGCCGCTGAAAAATCCAATTGTTTCTGTGTTTGTGTTGTTTTCTTCCTGTTCATTAAGCTCCTTAGTCCTAGCTCAAAGGATACATTTCTTATAATCTTGGCTGCAGTCACCTCTGTTTTCATCTCCCATGTTTTTGTAGTTTTGTTTCCTTTGTTAATTTTGTTGATAAAGACAAAGTTGTACTTTTTCCCTCATTTATTTGCAGTTTTCTCTTATTTATACTGTTTTATCCAATTGGTATGTACTGTTTTCTCTTTTATTTGCATAGTTTTTTCTAATTTATTTGTACTGTTTTCTCTCATTTATACTTTTTCTCTCATTTTTTTTTATAGTTTACTCTCATTTATGTGTACTGTTTTCTCTGTTATTTGTACTGATTTCTCTCCTTATTTGCACTGTTCTCTCTATTGTGATTATGCCATGTTTAGACTGATAAGCAATTATTGCATGATGCATGCATAAATAGTTATGTATATCACATTCGGCAGAGTCATGTTGACCAACACAGAGACAAAGACTGATATTTCTAAGCTTGCTGTTGTTTTCCTTGCTTTTCATCAAATGACTTCCAACATTTCAAAAATGGTCTGTAGCCTAATAAGTAACATTCATGGAAGAGATCATTCCAACTTATAGACATGTTTGTTGCTGTTATCACTTCGCAGATGCCTACTTTTCAGTTTGGTTAAACTTATTTACAAAATCCTGTCTCAAAATGCTCCAGATTACCTTTAGCTGATGTGGAAGTGTAACTGAAGACATAGCAATTGCCTAAACATATTACATCTTGGTAAAACTTGGTATAAACCAGTACAAAACATGCTTCAAATACTCCACAGCTCATCTAAAGAACCATATTCCACAGCAAATCAGTAATAGCACTAACTTTTTACATATACAGTTAGAAAATGTTTGAATAGTAGCTCATTATAGACTGCACTTGTAAAAATAATAGTAAATAGTAAGAATTTTAATTTATTTTAGTAGTGAGATATAATTAGAGCACATTCGTCATTTGTAATTAAGACTTAGTTGTTGTTGATTTTTTTCAAGTATCTGTTAAAAGATTAGTGGAGTATTGTAAGGCAGGAATGAGACCAGAAGGCTAGAAAGATGGACATGATTCTGAAGTCATATATATATATATATATATATATATATATATATATATATATATATATATATATATATATATATATATATATATATATATATATATATATATATATATATATATATACAATTTCTTTTTCGTTGTTTTTCTGTTGCAAAGATAGATGAAAAAAAAAAGTTTTGAGGAACCAGGCAATAACAAGTGTTTGCTAATTCCAGGTACAAAGAAGAAGAAGGAAGACAGTGAAGAAGACTCAGAAGATTCCATGTCAATCCAGTCCAAACGTTCTATTGAAGCCAGTAAGAATACCTTTGTTTCAAAACAAAGTCTTTCTCTCTTCTGTGTTTGCCCTTAACTCTACCAGCAATATACCGCTTCTGCAGTAATTACCTAATCTGCTGCTAAACCGCTGTACCTTATTGTCGGTACTTTGGGTACTACCTGATAAAACACGTCACAAACTAAAAATAACCAACCAATCGTGATCAAACTGTGTGGTTAGTCATTTTGAATGACTGCCCATGTGAGCTTGGATTTACTTTGTGTGGTTTAATGTGAAAAAATTCTGAAAATTAACAAGCAGTTGGCATGTTCTGTTTGGGTTTACAGCTAGGCCTTGCTATCTACACCTTTCAACCCTAGACATCCTATTTCAGGAAAACCATAGTTTGTTGCCTTTTGTGACATGCTAGTTAAGGGGGCAGTGGGTCAGTACATTTTTCTCCTGAAAGTGTTGCCTGCAACCCATGGGGAAAGTCTTTCTGTCAAACTCAGATTTCCTGACTTGTTCAGGGTCAGGTAAATGCCATCACTGTGCATTGATCAGTTACTGACTACCTGGGATGCGGAGATGCTCAAACACACGTGGTGGCACTTCAGGACTACAGCATTTTCTGGTCGAAATCTAGCTACACATGTCCTTGGTCATCCTAGGGAAGGGTAGAAACCGTGGGCCTAATCAACCTCAACAGGATTAACATTACCTTCAAAGTGCATCTGCCTGAGAGGCAATGAATAAACAGTCTGCACACATATAAGCCAGCTGAGTGCATTGGCCTGAGAGATGAGGAATGAACAGTCTGCACATACATAAGCCAGATCTGGAGAACAGTTGTGTACACATTACTTAAGCCCTGACACAAGTCTAAACACCAGAAGTGGACAAACATCCAGGACTTTCTGCTGGAGTTTACCACCAGTGTAAACTAGGAGGAAGAAAACTGACTACTGCTTAGGGTGTTGAGGGAAATATAAGATTCTTCTTCCTGTTCTTCCGACTGCCTCAACCATAGACACATCATGCTGTTGTAGAGTTTCTTTGGTATTGTTGTTTCATCTTGTTCGGGGTTTACCTTTTGCTCTACATCCTTCTGCTCTTGTTGTGTATACCTTGTTTTAAATTGCATCACAAGGCATTCTCTCGAAGCTGACACACCATTTGATTTTCTGTCTTAGTGTGTAATTTAGAACTGGTTCTGTGCTGACATTTTCTCTTATGTCCAGTTCTTGATTTGATTTCTTCTGGTCACTCCTACAACCCTGTTGTGAGTGACAATGTCTGGCACTGGTAGCATAGATTGGGAATGAATGTGCCTTGTATGTGATGTTTCTTTGTGCTGGTCAGGATTGTCTTTTGTTGTAAGAGAGTGCTAGGTGTCCCTGTGAGGTTTAAAGTAGAACATTTCCCTTGTAGAATTCCTAACCTTATAAATTGTACTCATAGATTACAGTCATATGTATATATTTTATTCTTTCACAGTTGGAGTCTGTGTGTTACCACAAATCCCCCCTCAGTCCCCAGTGGCAATGGCACCACATGACAAGATTTTAGTAGAAGAGGCAACCAAGTGGAACCACAGAAGACCAAAGAAGAAGCAGCGACGGGTTGACAACAAAAATACCAGTGTCTCCCCAGGAAGTGGTCAGCCCCACAGCAACATGAAGGTGGCCAGGTCAACAGAGTGGCAGTATGCAGAAAACATGGTCATTACCGATGTTTCAGAGTTGATTTTGCTGGATGAATTTTTATCGCAGAAGGTAAAAAAGAAAAGAATCTGTTTAGAATTTATCTTCTTTATTGTGTCCCAAGTTGTATATTGACAGATCATTTAATTGAATCGAAGAGAAGATGAGGAAACTGGAGAGGGAACACTACATAGAAATAGGAGAGCGGAGGCTTGGAGAGAGGCAAAAAACAGGATAAAAACATATTAGAGTGGGTCACTGGCAGAGAGGACCTGTATTAGAGAGGCTGATTTATGACTTTGAAATCATTATATTGCAGGAATTAAACACAGATAGATTTGAGTGTCCTCAATTCATTAGTTAAATAAATCCAACCGGATAGGGAAAACATGAGCAATGTCTGCTGGTGGAGAGTGGGTTGAAGCATGTGGTTCTTGACCTGGGTCAGTGGAGTCATACACTAGAGGTTCAGGGTATACATATAGATAATGGGGTCACAACCTAGAATTTAGTAAATGTTTACGCTGCTGTTGACTCGTGTCACAAAGAAACATTGGGACCCGCTCAAAGAGTTGGAGGAAAATCCCTGGTAATAAGCTTCTCAGTTGTAGGGATTTCAGTGCACGGAAAAGCACTAGGGAAAATAGACAAGGAAATGCTTTAGCAAAGGCTTTGGTGGATGCAGAGATAGTCTGTACAAACATCGGTTGCCCAATTAGAATGGCAACGAGACCTGGTGATGCAGACACATTATTGATTTGGCATTTGTTACCCAGTCAGCAGTGCTGGACACAAGATGGAGTGTCCTAGACGATGATGGGAGTGACCATATGACATGCTCAGTCTTGATTTCTAAAGCTAGCAACATCAGGGTTGTAAGAACGCGCAAGACATTTAAGTATAAGAGTGCCAGTACTCTTCTTGGAAGACTTCGACAGAAGGTATGCAGCAGAACCACCACCTCTGCTTTAGTGCTGCCTCCATGGCGGACCCAAGAAGTAGAACAGGCATGGAAAGCAAAGTGAGCAGCAGTTAAAACAATTTAAAAAAGTGTGACAAACACCTCAGGGAATTACACGAGGATGTAGAGAAGCTAGAACGACCTACAAAAGAAATAATAGAGGAGTTTAACTGGTGTGCAGCAGATGCAAAAAAAGGCTGGATGGGAACATTTTGTGAGTGAAATTGGAGGGGATAAATAACTGGGTAAGTTTTGGAAACTTCACATACAGATACAAAGGAAGGATTGGCCTATAACAACAGGCACCATATACACTGTTAATGGTATGCCAGTGACAACAAAGAGAAAGGGAAAGCACTTTTGAAGAGATTTATAGCTGGAACTAATCATAATGATATGGAGCTTAAAAATTCAGTTAGAGATCATCTGTATAATACAATAAATGATAATTATTTTGAGGATACCAATAGGGTGGAGGATGTAAAATGTGTATTGCAAAAAGCAAAGGGCACTTAGCCGAGGCCTCACAGAGTCAGGTATGCCCATATGAAGAGCATGAGTGATGTTGACTTAAGGAAAACGGCTTTTCACTTCAACCAAAGCACCAGAACAACTTCAGTATCCCAGGACTGGGTACACAGCTACCTAATCCAACTTCCAAAACCAGGCAAAGATCATTCCAGACTCAGCGGTTTCAAGATTATTACTCTTCAAAATACTTCTAGCAAGGTGCTAGAGAAAATTATTACTGTTGAACTAAAAATGAATTTCGGAAAGGGAAGAGCTCCTGCCAGAAGTTTTAAGTATTTACTAGCCACGGAAAGGTACATGGTCAAATGCAGATACTTTTGCTCTTGATGTTTATGAGGTGTTCCAGAATCGACAGTAGACAGTTGTGGCAGCACTTGATGCCTACATTAAAGTCAAATATGATATTTTGATATCTGCACTCAATGAGAAGGGGGTTTGTCCAAGGCTTGTGAATTGGATAGCAGCTGTGTGTGCGTATATGTATTTATGTGTGTATATGTGTGTGTATATATATGTGTGTGTGTGTATGTGTGTGTGTGTGAGAGAGAGAGAGAGAGAGGGAGAGATAAATCACACTGTAACCCCACGGCATCTATCAGTGAGGCTACAGGAGATTTTTGCATCACAGTGGCTTAAAAAAAAAAGCAGTTTGGTTCACAACAAAACTTCTAACTGCTGACGCTAAATGCTAACATCTCTGATGCTAACACTATTACATGACCTCAGAGGGAAAGCTGTCACTGCTGCTGAGGCCAAGCTAGGAAACATTGTAACCAACTTGTCATGGGAATGATTAGTAGAGGTACGTTGGGGTTGCTGCTGCAGAGAAGGACTACCCATGCAGGGGATTGCCTATTGTTCAGTGGCATCGATTGAGATAACATAATATAACACAACTTATATGTGTATGAAAGCACCTTGTTATTATTTGTAAATATTTTCACAGCAAAGAGGGTTCTCTAATGATATCTCTGGGAACAGGCAGGATACAGTCTTTGACAGAATCTTCAAAGGATCTTTAGACAAGTTTAGAAAAGACCTCAAATCGTTGATAGGAGTGGAAGCCATTGTGAGTATTCTGGTACATTTTGTTGTCCTCTTCTCATTATGTTACATCAGATATTGAATAGATGTCTGTGGCATCTGCATAAGTAGCCACCAGTTGACATGTTTTATTTATCTCTAATTACATTCTCCTTGAATAATGTTGAGTCGTGGTCTAAGTCCACTTTAGAAAACAAAATTAAAAGTAGGCCGCTTTCAACCTGCTGCTAGAGGTGAAGCTGCCAGCAGCATTTGGTTATATTTATGGTCTGGGTTATTTGTGCCAAGTGTTTTGGCTGAAAATGGGGTGTATGTGCCAGATTGATTGTTTTGTGGTAATGATGAGTCAAGAACTGATAACACTAAACTTAGGACATTCTCATATGTGCTCGAACCTCATCTTCAGCAGCCAATAAAGAGTACCAGTTCTGATAGTTCCAGGAGCAGTTTATGATATGTCCATTTTGTCTCTCCTCTGCCAGATCCCCTCACCAGTCCCTACCGTATCTTTCTCTCTAATGATCTATTCATGTGTCTGCTTTGTTCATTTGTTCATTATGTAATGAAAGCAGTTCTTCTTCTTTCATTTGCTTGAAGCTTGAAAACAGAAGACCATGCCCGACGTTGCTTGGAAAACAGAATGGCAGAACACTCCCTAAATGGCTCCACACACAACTGCGTGGAGATCCTGCCTCAAGATAAGCCAAGAAGAGAGAACCTAATTACTCATTTGCTTGACTTGGGTCATGTAGTTGATAACATTTGTGCTTACAGGATTATTTACCACACACTGAATAGACATTTGCTAAAAGTGGTTAACGCTGTATCAATGAACCTCAACTCTTCTATGTTATGTAAACAGAAAGATCATGTGACCAATTTGAAGTTACCTTGGTAATCATTGTGACTGATTTTGAATTTCTGGCAGATAGATGTACAGCTCTTGACAATGTGGTTTATGCATTTCTGCAAGAAAAAAATTCATTTTGTGCTTCAGTTGATTTAGCTCTGTAGTAATGCACCTGACAAGATACAGCGAAATGTGGCAGACAAGAAATTGTGCAGTGTATTGTTTGTGTCCGCATTATTTAAATTTCTTTGTATTTCTTTGTTTAAGTAATATACATATTTGTGTAATGTGTGCATAAACACATATTAATATTTGAAATATTTGATTTGACTTTTTCCTGAGGCAGAAAGAGAAGTCTTTTGTGAGATACCGTGACCTGTTTGAGCAGTTTCGATACATTCTAGAAGCAGAGATGAAGAGAGAGAAGACTGATGCTCCACTTGTCATGTCAATCAATGCATTCCGAGGTTTCCTAGATGAGTTCCGCAAGCAGGAGGAAGCTAGAACTCGTGACATCAAAAAAGAAGATCGCCGGGTGGACAAGAAAAATATTAAACGAGAGAAGCATAAGAAAGCTTCAGACACAGTAGTAAGTTTATCTATCTGTGAAGATATTTATTTTGATTAAATTTTTTTGCAGATTGAAAGAAGTGTTGTTTTTGGTAGATTTCTAAATTTGATGACCATGTAGTTGTTTGTCAGTTCTGAAGACAAGGTTTCTCATGTGGGTTTAGCTTCTTTTATCTCTTCGGTTGTCGAGGAAGTTACAACTCCTGTATTATTTAACCTCTTGCAAAGGATCATCTTTTACCACTTCGGTTGTCGGGGAAGTTACAACTCCTGTATCATTTAACCTCTTGCAAAGGATCATCTTTTACCACTTCGGTTGTTGAGGAAGTTACAACTCCTGTATCATTTAACCTCTTGCAAAGGATCATCTTTTACCACTTCGGTTGTTGAGGAAGTTACAACTCCTGTATCATTTAACCTCTTGCAAAGGATCATCTTTTACCACTTCGGTTGTTGAGGAAGTTACAATTCCTGTATCATTTAACCTCTTGCAAAGGATCTTCTTTTACCACTTCGGTTGTTGAAAAATTTTAACTCCTGTATCATTTGACCTCTTGCAGAGGATGTTCTTTTATCACTTCGGTTGTTGAGGGAGTTGCAGTCTTATATTATTTGATCTCTTGCAAAGGATCTTCTTTTACCCTATCGGTTGTTGAGGGAGTTAGAACTCCTACATCATTTGACTGGGTACATGGAGGGAGATAAAACACTTAGATAATTTGACTGGATGCATAGAGAGAGACAAAACTGACATAATTTGACTGGGTGCTTGAAGGGAAATAAAACTCTTACATCATTTGATTGGTGCATGGAGGAAGATAAAACTGCTAAGTGATTTGACTTGGTGCATGGAGGAAGATAAAACTGCTACATCATTTGACTTGGTGCATGGAGGGAGATAAAACTGCTAAGTGATTTGACTTGGCGCATGGAGGAAGATAAAACTGCTAAGTGATTTGACTTGGTGCATGGAGGAAGATAAAACTGCTTCATCATTTGACTGGGTGCATGGAGGAAGATAAAACTGCTAAGTGATTTGACTAGGTGTATGAAGGGAGATAAAACTGTTACATCATTTGACTGGATGTATGCAGGGAGATAAAACTGCTACATCATTTGACTAGGTGTGTGGAGGGAGATAAAACTCTTAGAAAGTTTGACTGGGTGCATGGTCAGAAATACAATTTCTACATTATTTGACCAGTTCCATGATAATTTACATAATTTTCACTCATTTCAGATTTCATTAATTTATGTTTGACATCAAATTTGTGGAGAAGATTTCTCTCGTTTATTTTTGCACTTCGACTAAACATTTCAGACTTGCAACATCCTATCTTTTCGGAATTTTCTTTTCTTAGACCATGATCAGCCAAGGTCTGATCAGTGGCAGTGATAGCTTTGATCAGAGTATCCATCTCCTGGGTGGACTGCTGTCCCCAGTTGTTCTGTTCATCCATCTGGAGAAGTGTTTTTTGTCATCTTAGTTATTTTAATTAACACCAAATCCTCAGTTTAAAATGTATGCCTCTGAATATTTTGTTGAGAAGTTCCTCGCAATAAGTGTCTGCTTGTGTTTCTTTCTCATATGATAATGAGAAGTGGAAAAAAAAAAGGTAGGCCTAGAAGAACACTGCCGAGGGTCAAAACTAAAAATCTAGAAAATAACAATCTCATAAATAGACTGATTTATTCTTGTAAACATGTGGCCTGTTATGACTTCTGTGACCCCAGTTGGGTGGGTGGTAAACTCATTGCAACCCCTTTCCTTCCATCTTAACAAGATTGCCATAGAAGATGACTGATTAGGAGTTTGTTGAAATCAGATGTGTTTTGGGCCAAAAGGCACAGATAATGAAACCTAGCTGTAAACCACAACACAATGTGTCACAAAGCAGAAGATAAAGAAGAAGGGTATACATACATTTGGATCTGAAACGAGACAAATCCTGGATGGGTTGGGTTGCGGACCTCATTGAACATGTTTGCCGCCTTACTGACATTAATTTTGGAATTGACTGGATACCCATGCCTCCTGCTCCCAAAATAAACATTACAGTAAACATCACACTTGATGGAAGCTGTAGAGAGCATATTCCTGGCATTGTTGACACTTTAGTCAAAACACTGGTTGACAGATAAGGGTGATGTTGTAGTTTACACAGATGGATCAGTTATTTTAGGGCAAGCAAAGTGCATGGGCCTTCATAGTAAGCTCAAGGGGGAAAACCATCAAGGAGATGAATGGCGCCAAAAGGCATAACTGTGTATCCATGTCTAGGTTGGTGGACATGGAGGTGCAGCCTGGAGCTGCAAGAAATGAAGATTTCACCAAGGGGACAAGACATTTCAAAGACCAACAGGTGTCATCAATTGTTTTACACTTGTGCAGCTTTTGAGGAGGAGATTGGAGCACACATGGATCTCTCTAGAGTGCTGTGATGAAAATCCTTACTAATCACTAATCACATTTGAATCGTCAACCTTGCTACCAAATTTGTGCAATTTGTTTTAATTCTCCATGTTTTTGTGTGTGTGCAGGATTTCAATGGACACAGATACCAGCAGGTGCAGTTCAATATTCCCACATTTTGTGAAGTTTGCAGTTCGCTGATCTGGATCATGGATAAAGGATATGTTTGTCAAGGTAGGATGAACTTCCATCACTCACTTCTTCTTCAGAATTCTAAGCCCTTCAGGTTCACTGCTGCAAATATCACCCATCTCCATTCATCTCTGTACTAGTCATGAGAATAGTAATGAGTTGGGAAGCTCTTTGAAGAAAGAGGTAAATAATATTTTTAAATGGAGCAGTAGCAATCGCGTGCAAGTTAACATAAATAAAACTAAATCTGTGCTAAAAACAGCCAGACAGAAGTTACAAACAATAGCATTGCACAAGCCACCACTTGAGCTCTGCATTGATAAATTACCTATTGTTAATGTAACGGAACACAAAACATTAGGTTTTATAATTGACAGTCATTTAATTCTGAATTCTTATGCTTGTGTCAAAACTAAGAAAATAGCACAAAAAGTTTATCAGATGCCAAAGTTCAGCACTTTCTGGATGAAGATACACGAAAAATATGTTACATATCCTACATCCAAAAACATGTTGACTATAATTACACAGTTTGGAATGGTTGCCCTAAATCTAATGTTAAAAGACTAAGTTTCCTTCAAAATTGTGCTTTATGCCTGGTTAAAGTTAGAAAACATGTTGATAAAAATCATTTTTATAGCCTTCTGACATTTAGTAAATGTTTAATTTTTAACAAGGCCAAATTTATTCGTAGAATCTTATCTCAAAATACTCCAAGTTGCCTTTTCTGGTAAATTCAATCCAATCCTACGAACGGCAAGCGACTACATTTATTGCATTTGCCTTGAATCTAGAATAGATTTATATAAAATAAGTTTAGCATCTTCTGCTGTTTGTTTATGAAACCATCTTCCACTCGATCTGAAAAATACAAGGATTTTCTATTTATTTAACCGCAAACTTTTTTAGTTTAGGGTTGAATGTTGAATCAACATTACAGCACTCAGGATACTTCCATAAGCACTCCATCCCCATCTTCAGCAACAAGCAAATAGTTCTAATTCCAAATCTACCAGTAACTGTCTAATTATACATCTGTCTCGCCTGTCCCCTGAGTGTTGTTTAGTTCGTACTTACAAGTGATTATATGCCACCTTAAATGTGGTTAATAATCCATATTGCATTATCTGTTTTTTATTATATAAGGTGTTTATGGTATGTGTGCATGTATGTATGTATGCGTGTATGTGTGACATGTATATGTTTGAAATGTGTGTATGTGTAGGCATGTTTGTGTATGTATAATTCTGTGTATGTATGGGTGTTCATGTACATATGAATTTGTGTATGTATAGGTGTTTGTGCATGAGTGGCTATGTGTGATTGTGTTTGCATGGGCAACCATGTGTGTATGTATTGTGTGTATAGGTGTTTGTCTATGTGTGGGCATTAGTGTACCTATGGGTATTATGTGTACGCTTGGCTGTTTGTGTATGTATGGTTGTTTGTGTATGTTCAGGTGTTTGTGTATATTTTGAGAGTGTATGAATGAGCGAGAGTGCATTTATGTATGTATATCTGTGTATGAACTCAATGAAGTTCTCCTGTTAATCAAAATCTAGTGGTGTTGTGTCTATTTTATTAAAATTGTCCATAAATATTATAAAAAGTAAAAGTGAAAGAACAGACCCTTGCCTTACTCCTGATGTTACTGGAAACCAGTCTGTGAGGCCAGCTCTTGTTCTGACGGCGCTTTCACTTTCTCTATAAATAGCTCTTACACAATCTAGCACTGTTCCATTTATACTAGGGCTGTACCGAATATTCGCTTCGTATTCCCTTCGGGGCCGAATAGTGGACCTATTGACTATTCGGTATTCGGCCGAATAGTTGCGGTCGGGCCGAATAGGAATAGTAGTTACCTTACATCCACTTTTGCATACACGGCTTTAATACTGACAACATGGAACGATTGGTTTTGTTGAAAGCCAATGCAGCTTTCATGCATCAACTAAGCTGTCAGTGACAATTTTCAAGTTTGACTTTAGGAATGTGTGTTTTTGTTTCCAGATATATTTTATACACTATACACTATTCGTATTCAGCCAAATAGTTGGTCCCGTTATTCGTATTCGGCCGAATAGTGAAAATCACTATTCGGTACAGCCCTAATTTATAGCATAGTTTTCAAGAACGTCCCATAGTAAATCTCTATTCACTCTGTCAAAAGCCTTTTCTTGATCCTTAAAAATGATGTTCATTCAGTGTCTGTGTACTATTGTCTTTTTGCTAATTTGCCTTAGAGCAAAAATAGCGTCAGTACACCCTCTTCCTTTCCTGAATCCGACCTGTGCTGGGCTCAGAATCAGTTTCTACAACAGATCGAATTTGTTGCTCCAAAATCTTGGCAAACACTTTACCTACATGGCTTAAAAGGAAGATGCCTCTGTAATTGTTACAATCTTGCTTATTGACTTTTCTTTTCCATATTGGTACTATAATGGCTCTTTGCCAGTCTCTTGGTACAATTCTTTCATTCCAGGCTTTACTAAATATTTGGAGTAGCCATGTGACTCGTTTACCTGTATTGCGGCCTTATTTTTTTGGGACTGTACCTGATTGCTTCTCTGACTTCTTGTTCAGCTATTCCAGGTTGTTCCGTGTTTGTATATCTGGGTGTGAATGGTACTGTTCCTTAATTTTCTTTTACGTTCAGAAGAGTTTAGAAATATTCTTTCCGTCTTTCTCTGATCTTTCCCTCTTCATGTATGGGTCTTCCTTGAAATATTCTGATGGCTGGAATGGATATACTCTGATTCTTATTTTTGCAATGGTTTTGTAAATCTGTCTACTAGAATTAGCACAAAGAAGAATCAGCATCAAACTACTAAATGTAAAATTCCGCGGTTAAAAACACAAATAGCCAACAAATGTTGGCATTAGTTTATGATGTCATGTCAAGGATTTGCAGCTAATTTTTTTTAAACACAATATCTTTGTAGCCAGAAATGTTGATGAGCAAAACTGCAGATGCTTGCCTTTTAATGATCTTTTGTTCACACATTGTACTGGGCAGAACTATGGCTAACTTCTTATTTTTGTTTGCCTGAGTGATGTTATTGCATTGTGCCTGTTTACAGCAAAGCTGTAATATTTGCGCCTTTCAGCCAACACAATCATATCATTGTGCATTTATTGACCAGGTTTACTTTCCAGAACTAATGGCTAAAACGTCAAGGCATTTTGGCTAAGCAAGATCACAGATGAAGAACTGAGGAGGAAAACAAAATGTTCACAACAGGCAAAAATGGTCAGAGGAAGAAAGTGGTGATAGCTTTGACATATTTAGCAGGATGCCTAGTAGTAACACTTTAGCAAGGGCAGTTCTCTGGTGGATGGCAGGTGAAACAGGTAGACAGACGATTTAAGGTGACCTGGAGAAGGACAGAAGAAAGGGAATGAAGGAAGGTAAACTGACATGGGATACCAAGGGCAGAAAAGCAGCAGAATGACAACAGTGGAGATCACTTGTCAGTGTCGTATGTGTCAGCAAGGATATTAAAAATATGTAGATAGTCACATATAATTCTAGTCTGTCTTCTGAGATGTTTGAGGAAAATTGAAAATATTGAGACAAAACTAATTTGTATTAACAGATTGCAAGCTGGCATGCCACAAGAAGTGTTACAGCAAACAGAACTCACCGTGTAAGGGTGCTGCAGAGAATAAGGTTAGTGTGCTCTTGCAGTCTTAGCCTTTATTTTTGTCTTTCTCTTATGTGATCTACATCTGTGACCACTTCACTCCCCAGTGGCACTAGCTGCTACTCTGTCTCTCTCTCTCTCTCTCTCTCTCTCTCTCTCTCTCTCTCTCTCTCTCTCTCTCTCTCTCTCTCTCTCTCTCTCTCTCTCTTTCTTTCTCTCTTTCTCTGTCTCTCCCCCCCTCTCTCTCTCCACACACACACACACATGCATGCAGGCACACACACACATACGGTGGAGGGAACAATATTGTGAGAGAGAAAGGAATGTGAGAGAAGGATGGGTGGGGGGGGGGGGGGGGGGGGGGGGGAGGAGGAGGAGGAGTTGGTGAAGGGAGGGGGTTGCATATATATAGCAAGGTTCTTGAACAGCAAGAAGACAAATCTGGTGTCAGGAAAAAAAAAATATTCAAAAGTTTCATGTAAATAACAATTCTTGTGTTCAAACCTCTGTGGTTAGGGTCAGCCCTGTAGCCAGTTGTTCGGAGCTCATCTGGATACATTGGTCAGTGACACACAGAAAATTCCTCTTGTGTGTGAGAGAATCATGTCCACACTGGAGAGGACAGGCCTGTACATTGAAGGAGTTTATCGCAAGTCCGGAGCTGCACCAAAAGTCAAGGAACTCAAGGCTGCCCTAGAAGCAGGTAATACTTGACATCCTTCCAACATAAGATGTTCCTTGCGAACACATTCGGTCTCATGAAGGTGACTATACTTTAGCCAGTGATTGAAGCCTGACACCATTTTCATGACTCTTATGCACCAAAGGATCTTTCATTGCTTTCACTTCTGTTTGGTGTCCCTGCCAGTCATTTCACGATAAATAGGCTGTAGGCATCTGTGAAGGCTGTCATTGTCGTCCTCATCATCATCATCATCATCATCATCATCATCATCATCATCAATTTCCACTTCTGCCATTAAGTGTTGTGGGGAGGAAAAAGTTTGCGATCCATTGCTTTATCGGGAGCAATAGCTTGTGCCATTCCATATTGATGTAGAAGCTCTTTAATGTCATCAGTCCATGTTCTCCTAGGGCCGCCTCTTATTTCACTTCAGATCATTTCATGTGTAGCGCCTGTGTTGGTAGTTGTTCTGGCTGCATTCTTACTAGATGACCAAACCATTTGACCTTCTGTTTCCCAAAAAGCTTCTTGCATGGTGTTGTCTGATAATATCATTTCTAACTTTGTCTCGGATGGTTAAGTTGTCGGCTCTTCTCAGGCATCTCATTTCACAGGTGTTAATTTTACATAAGTCAGCCTTTGATAATGTCCAAGTCTGGCACTGGTAGCACAGTGTGGGTATGAATATGCTGTTTATAATCTGTTTCTTGGCACTTATACTTATGTTTGGATGTCCTAATAATGGTGTCAGTTGGTATAGAAGTGCACTGGCTCTTATGAAGGCTGTGATGTTACAGATGTCTTCCACTGATCCACGCAGCATGGTTTGCACCAAAATGCTATGTGTAGAGAGCACGTCTGTAGCATATGTTTTGTATTATAGGGCATCTGTCCGCATGGGCACAGCTCTGAGTCACACAGTTTCTTATACACATGGCTGTGGAGTCTGTTGTATCCAGTTTGCAGTCTAACTACTAAGGTCTGCTGCTTTCATTTGAGGAGGTAGAATGGGTCTTGGAATTGTGTTTTGAATGCGAGGTGCTTCAGGGGGTTCTAAAGGCAACCTTGATCTAGGTTTTGTTGTCCTCATAAGTGCATCCTGCATCCATTGTTCTTGATTGCTCCCAAGTTTTGCTGTATGTAAAAAAAAAATTTAAAAAAAAAAATGTTTCACTCAAGAGAGACAATTTTATTGACACTTCTTGTATAATGATCAACTGATCATTGCTTAATGAGTGAAACCTGACACAGTTTGACTTAAACTGATTATATGTTGCTCATTGATTTTTGTCACTTTACAAGGCAACTGATTATGTACTGATCACTCATTGTTATGTATTGATAAATTGTTGTTATATATTGATCAATGTTTGCAACTTTCCAATCGATCATGATATGTGGGAAGTCACTGCATGCAGCTGTTCCTGTTGATATCCGTCTCTTCTGTGGGAGTTGGCATCTTCAGGGGGTAGCCAGCACTGTAGCAGCAGTTTAGCAAAGACAAGCCAGAAAACACTGAACTGAATCTCAGTGTCTGTGGCATAGGGATGACAGATCTAGCAAGCAAAGGAAAGAACGACCTGGCTTGAGATGGCTGAGGGCCTATACAACATCGAGGGATAAAAGGCAGGAAGAAGAAGAAGATGAAGACCACAAATAGCTAACCATTGCTTTAGTTGGCTTGCAACGTCCTGTAAAAGATTTGCACCTGACAGCCTTTATTTGTTAGAATGTGTCTGTGTGTGTTTCAGATGCTGTTTATATGTTACATATATTGTTTTGTTTTCCACTTTTTTAGATGTTGAGGGAGTGACCTTGGAGGACTACCATGTGCATGTCTTGACGTCTGTACTGAAGCTTTTCCTCAGAAATCTCCCGGAACCTCTGCTGACATTTGACCTCTTTGATGACTTTGTGCGCACTACAGGTACTCAGCATACTGTCTCCTGTTCACTTTATGGTTTTGGCTTCTGTGGCTGTGCAGTGGAAAGCAAGCACAGTAACTACTTTATCAGTGTTGCTACACAATTTTTTAAAGACATCCTGTTATGAAAGGATGTATGAGGAGTAGAATTAAAACATACATCCTCTATAATTTTTTCCTTGTTTATATTGAACTGCAATAATTTATTTTAAAAAAATAATTGTTGTTTTAATATAGATATAGTAAATATTTATTATATACATTTATATACCTCATTACCTCCAAAGATTGATTCAGTGGAGAGCAGGCTTAGGGTTTGGCTGTTCAGCTATGTTTACTCAGGGGCCAACATTTTGAAAATAGGGATTGTCACGGGCCAGAGGTTCGAGTCTCACAAACTCATAATTGATTAGAATGTGTGGGAATTCCCCGAGTGCAGTGGTGTTGATTCTTGGGAACAGCCTGTATGTTGTATATATGTTTAAATACACAATAGTCATGAAGAGCAGATATATATGTGATTAAATATCCCATTTCTATACATATGGCCTGTATGTTGTATATACGTTTCAATACACAATAGTCACGAAGAGCAGATATATATGTGATTAATTATCCTATTTCTATACATATGCCCTGTATGTTGTATATATGTTTCAATACACAATAGTCATGAAGAGCAGATATATATATGTGATTAATTATCCTATTTCTATACATATAGACTGTATGTTGTATATATGTTTCAATACACAATAGTCATGAAGAGCAGATATATATATGTGATTAATTATCCTATTTCTATACATATAGACTGTATGTTGTATATATGTTTCAATACAAAATAGTCACGAAGAGCAGATAAATATGTGATTAACTGTCCCATTTCTATACATATGTCCTGTATGTTTGACTGTATGTTCACATATGGTTCACAGTCTAGTCCTCCATTCCAGTCTGTGCTGTGCAGTCCTGTTAGTATCCCCAGTCTGTGCTGTGCAGTCCTGTCAGTATCCCCAGTCTGTGCTGTGCAGTCCTGTCAGTATCCCCAGTCTGTGCTGTGCAGTCCTGTCAGTATCCCCAGTCTGTGCTGTGTAGTCCTGTCAGTATCCCCAGTCTGTGCTGTGCAGTCCTGTCAGTATCCCCAGTCTGTGCTGTGCAGTCCTGTCAGTATCTCCAGTCTGTGCTGGGCAGTCCTGTCAGTATCCCCAGTCTGTGCTGTGCAGTCCTGTCAGTATCCCCAGTCTGTGCTGTGCAGTCCTGTCAGTATCCCCAGTCTGTGCTGTGCAGTCCTGTCAGTATCCCCAGTCTGTGCTGTGCAGTCCTGTCAGTATCATGGAGGGAACCATCCAACATCTTTGACTCCTTTCAACAGGGTTTGCCTTGGGGCATCTTTTAGACATCCATGTCTTCAGTCCTTTTGTTTCCCATTTCAGAGTCTGTGTCACATAGCTGTTTCTAATATGTGTATATACATAATTTTCTATACAGTAAACGATGTAGCCAGTCAGTGTCTGTTTGACTAAATTTGTCTGAATATCTGCTTTTATTGTTGATGCTCAAATGCCCAATATTTCCCCTGTCAACAGAGATAAAAGATGAGAAGGAAATGATCAGGTCTGTATTTGAGATCCTCAAAAAGCTGCCCCGGTCTAGTTTCGACTTGTTTGAACGACTTTGTTTCCATCTAGCTTGGTAAGGGTCGCTCTTTACATTGTTATTATATATTTAAATCTACAACCAGAGTTGACATTCATAATCCACTCTGCCTATGCATTGGGTTGTAATCTTTTGACAACAAAATACCTCAAACTTGGGAAGAAACATCACCACTCAAGACTTAATTGGAGCCAGTCAGTATTGGCTAAACATCTCAAACAAATCGAAATAATTTCAGCTTTATGTTACCATTGTCACACATAATCATTTCAGCTTTATGTTACCATTGTCACACATAATCATTCCAGCTTTATGTTACCATTGTCACACATAATCATTTCAGCTTTATGCTACCATTGTCACACATAATCATTTCAGCTTTATGTTACCATTGTCACACATAATAATTTCAGCTTTATGCTACCACTGCCACACATAATCATTTCAGCTTTGTGTTACCATTGTCACACATAATCATTTCAGCTTTATGCTACCATTGCCACACATAATCATTTCAGCTTTATGCTACCATTGTCACACATAATCATTTCAGCTTTATGCTACCATTGCCACACATAATCATTTCAGCTTTATGCTACCATTGCCACACATAATCACTCACAGTAAGCCAGAAAAAGATTATTTTCAACCATAGAAATGAGATTTGGGAGAAGGACTGCAGAAGGAAGAGATTAAGTCAAGAATGCAATCGTTAGAGAGAAGTCAGCACAGAACCAGTTCTAAGTCACATACAAAAACAGCTAATCAAGTGCTTTGCCGACTTAGAATGTCTTGTGACATTATACCAAAAGAAAAGAAGGATGTAGAGCAAAAGGTAGACCAAGAACGGTGTGGAAAGATAACACTAGAGAAACCCTACACCACACAATATATCTACGGGCAAGGTGGCCAGAAGAGTAAGAAGCAAAGCCTCATATCTCCCCCCAACATCAACATCCAAAGCAGTAAAAGAGGAAGTAAAGACGAAGATATCTGGGCTGTCCTGAACTATAGCCTAGTTACATTCTCGTGTATCTTTCCACATACAGTTCTTGCATACCCCATTGCTTTATTAGCACCACATGGGGCATAGATCCTGAACTGTAGCCTGGTTACATTCTCGTATATCTTTCCACATCCCATTCTTGCATACCCCATTGCTTTATTAACTCACACCTTTGTAGGTTTATTCATGAGTGGCTGAATTTTACAGCTAGTTGTCCATGGACTGAGTAAACTTAGGTGACTTGCGACTTGATCTGCGCTTAAGACCCCCCCCCCACACACACACACACACACACACACACACACACACACACACCAAAAAAAAATAGTGAATAAAGAAAGATAACTACATTGGTGGAATCAAACAGTTCACAGAACTGATGCCTATAACCCAGCAGGGTCTAGATATCAGAGACTGTTTGACTGTACTGAATACGACAAACTGTCAGGAACCACAATTTGAATAAAAAATATTGTTGAAAAATATAAATTCCGTCCAATTTACGACCTGGTTGTCAGGATGGGACTCATTTGAAAGTCAAGGAGACCCTGTATTTGATTTATTTGTGCATCACAAGAGCTCTTCTGTATAATCTGGATAGAGCACTCTTTTATTAAGTGTGTCTATGTATTCATTAATTTGCCCATGTATTCACAAGTTTGTCCAGATAATAACATGTATATCCATGCATCCACACATTTACTAGTTTATCCAGGTATTCACAAGTTTGTAGATTTAAACACAAGTTTGTCCATGAATTCACAAGTTTGATCATATGTTCACAAATTTGCCGATGTATTCACAAGTTTGTTCATGTATTCACAAATGTGTGTATATATTCACAAGTTTGCCTGTGTATTCACAAATGTGTCTATATATTCACAAGTTTGCCTATGTATTCACAAACTGGACCATGTATTCTCTGATTTGTCTATGTATGTATTCACAAATGTGTCTATATATTCACAAGTTTGTCTATGTATGTATTCACAAATGTGTCTGTGTCTCTTTCTAGTGTTGCCATGCACAGTGACAGCAACAAAATGAGTGCTAGTGCTTTGGCAGTCATCTTTGCTCCAGTTTTGCTGGGGACCAATAAGAAACTTCAAGCACAGGATGCCATCGCTTTGATGCCCAAGCAAATGGTGTATGTATTCTTTATAATAATCTATTCTACTCATTTCTGTAAAACAGCATTGGATTACTGTAAACCAAAGAACTACGTTATTTAAAGGTCGCAGTCTGGAGCAGGTCTGTTTAACTAAGTTTACCCAGGGGCCACAATTTTAAGTTCTTTTTTAATATCCTACCCCAGATGATGTCACAGGACAGTCCAACATTTTAGAGGAAGACAAGACTGGGTTTCCCAGCTTTCTAATGCTTTTAACGACCCCAAAACATCTAGAACTGGCCCTAACCCCAACCTACCATGAGACAATGCAGCCTAGGTCCCACGACTGCTTGCAGCCTAGGTCCTGCGACTGCATGCAGCCTATCTACCACCCCCATAAATATGAGACTGTCCCATGACCTGTGGATTTCCCCAGTTTGGGGTAGGATATTATTAAAGCACCAAATTTTCAAATAGGGATCATCACGGGTCAAAGACATGAGCTCCAGAGTAAAAAAGTTATTAATTCAACACAACTGGCAGAGATTTGTGGGCAACTTGCTAGGCCTCCACAAGCCAAATGTGGCCTGTGGGCCGCCAGTTGAATAGCTCTGGTCTAAAGTGCACATCTAAACAAATTGGGTGGAGTCTGAAAACAAACAAATATAGAAAGCCTGAGAAAACATGACTGATTGGTTGATCCGTTTATCCCCTCCAGGCTCTACTTAAAGGTTTACTGTACCATCTTAAGATTTTAAAATATAAAAAAAAAAAAAAAAAAGCTCAATCTGGATGGCAGACCAACAAGGTAGATCCCGTATGCCCCATTCAGCCTCCAAAGAAGTTATAATTAGGGCACCTATAACAATTTCTTAGGGGCAGCAAGCTGGCAGAAGATTACTTTCACTGCTCCAGTAAACAGAATGAAGAATAAATAGACTGATCTAGAGGACAGCAAGCAGTGATGTACAGACTGGATGAGAAGCGAAGAAGAGGCTGACCATGCATAAGATGGATAGAAGGAAAAAGAGTCCTTGAGAATCCCTATTAACTGAGTGCATAAAGTGCCACTTTCTCATAAATCAGCGATTCTCAACCTTCTTAATGCCGTGACCCTTCAACAGAGTTCTTCATGTTGTAGCAACCCCCAAACGTACAATTATTTTCGTCGCTTCTTTATAACTTCAATGACTATATGTTTTGCGTTGGTCTTTGGAGACCCCTGTGAAAGGGCCATTCAGCCCAAATAAAGGGTCCCCACCCATAGGTTGGGAACCACTGCCATAAATTATACTTCACCTTGATGCCGCAAGGCACCAGAGAATCAAGATGATATAAGATAACGACCACACCAGCGAGGTATAACATGTAAGCGTGTGGGTAAGAATGAAAACATTACCATCAAACCAATATAAGCCAGTCCATATGTGCTGTGCTGAATTGGGACTTGATTACATCCTAATATGATTCTCAGCAGATGTGAGATTCTAGTACCAACTTTGTACAACCTCTTGGTTTCTGAACTTGGAAAGGGAAATGGAAGATCTGCTGCACAGTTCCCAGGGATGATACTTTTCTGCTAGGGGGTCTCCATGGCAAAGTGGTCAAGCCGTTGGCCTTGCGCTGTGAAGGTTATGGGTTCTTTTCACGGCAGCGCCATTCAGTTCATGAGTCCCCCGTGTGGGTTCCGGGGCCCCATTGTGGGGAAAACAAGAGTAGACCCACTGCCTCCCCAAAAGCATGTCGTAAGAGTCGACTAATTGGGGAGCTTCCTTTGAAGTTGGAGTGCATCTGCCTGAGAGGCAAGGAACCAACAGTCTGTATTCAAGAGAATGAGATCTGTAAAACTGATGCACACGCAACACTCAGGTTCTGAAGCAGGACTGCAGTTCAGTAGTGGACGAGCAACCAGAACCTTCCGCCAGAGTTTACAGCTGGTGAACGCGAAGAAGAAGAAGAAGTTCATGAGTACAGTTTTTACGGACATCCCTGGGGATTGTCACCGGAGCTATGGAGTTCGTGCACTGTGCAATGCTCTCGGCAAGCAGCTACCTGTTCTGCGGAGAGAGACTGAGCTATAAGTGATAAAACCCGGTGCAAGGAAGTTGATCCTCCACCTTTACCCTTAATTTTATGCAAAGTCAGGGTCATATTTACACCATCCTGACTCTGGTAGAAAAACGTGTGTGTGTGTGTGAGAGACAGAAAGAGAGATAGAGAGAGATAGGGAGAGAGAGATAGAGAGAGATAGAGAGGGAAAGAGAGAGAGATAGAGAGAGAAGAGAGAGAGAAAGAGAGAGAGAAAGAGAGAGAGAGATAGAGAGAGAGAGAGACAGAAAGAAAGAGAGAGACAGAAAGAGAGAGAGAAAGAGAGAGAGAGAAAGAGAGAGAAGAGGGAGAGAGGGGAGAAACAGTAATGTAACAGTTACAGCTGTTGATGCATTTTGTGAAGAAAAGATATTTAATAACTTGGGCATTGGGGTGAGTGAAGCACAGTGGAAGTTAGAAGTTCTTTTCGTAGATTCTGGGGCCCCTTTGGGTGTGGGGGAATGATATACTCATAGCCATATAATAGACTTGTCGTAAATGATGATTAATTAGGGGCTTTAATTGGAGGTGTTGGGCCGAAAGATGCAAATACTGTAGAATAGCTGTAGACCATAACAAAGCATGCCAACCACCATTTTTAGGCAGAATGCTGAAATTGAGCATATTTATGTTTCAGTTTGGTTTGAATAGGGTAAATGTAAATTCCTCATACAAGGGCACACTTATGAATGTTTTCATACTCACTCCAGGTGCATTGAGTTGATTCTCAAGGAGCAGATCCGAACTGTAAAGTCCAAGCTTGAGGATATTGATATTCTAGAAAGTGCAGAGAAGACAACTGGAGAAAGACTGAATGCTGTCCGTGCAAGTCTTCGCACTGTTCGTGTATGTTGAATTAGTTAGAAGAACATATTTCATCCCTCTTTCCCCCCCCCCCCCCCCCATTGTTCTTGCTTTTCCCCTCAGCCTCTTCTGTCTTCCAGTCAATATGTTGAATAGGTGGATTTACTGTCTTTAGTCATGGCAATTTTACTTCACCTGACAGTAGTTAGCTGTTGCATTTGTCCTTTATATATAGACTGAAAGGATACACATTTGTTGCCCAGCTTTTGAGTTGAATGTTTGGCGCGACACTGTGAATTTCATTTGGAATGTTTTCCGTTTGCCCAACATAGTTTGTGAAGTACAGATTCAGAAAATGGCGTGTGCCTGTAATCAGAGGACCTGTGGTGCCTTATGCAATTAATTGCATGTACAACTACTGATCTGTTGTAACTGCTGCATCCATCAACAGTTAACTGCATTTCCAGTGTCAGACTGCTGCCTCATTAATTTAATGCCTGTGTATGCTGTTGAATTTGATAGGACTGCAGTTTGTGTCAATTATTTTTTTCCACATAGGACAGAAATGAACACTGTGTGGTTTTCATCAGCACAGGAATGGAGGGTAGTGTACAGGCTTACCATAACAGTGGTTGGGAGTTCACTGCTCATTGTTTGCAATCTGTGTGGATCCAACTTCATTTACCATTTCACCCCAAGAAGCCACAAAACCAACACTTCTGGCTGGTCCCATTTCCCCATTTTTCTTTTTATCTTTTATTCCTTCTTCATTTCTGTTATTCCTACTATTATTAACAATATTACATTTTATTTGTTGTGACTATTTTTCAAGCCTTCATTTATTTTATTTCATTTCTTCTAAATTACCTTTTTTTTTTTAAAAATTGCTTACATGACCCCTTAATGTAGGAGTACTCTCCTCTTTGTTACCGTGTGCAGTTCATTTCATGTGAGGGAGGCTGCTGGCTGAAACGTTGTGTCATTTTGTGCACGTTTCTCTGCCTTTGCAAAACTTTTTAGTCAGTTCACTGAAATTCCTTGGTATTAGCTTGACTGCAGCGACACCTCTTTTCACCACATAAGAGCTGCTTTCCTGACCTGCTATAGAGACATTTTTACCAGGCATCTAACAGAATTCATTGTATCTGCATGAGTGCTAAAAATTCACAGTGACAGGTAATGACTAAATTTACACAAAATAGTGGGGAAGGGGGGGGGGGGGGGTGTTCTCCTTTCACACACAAGACAAAAAAAGACTTTATTTATAGAAATTCCTGTCATATTTTCCCATTGGATGCAGTGGTTACCAGGTCACAAGGACAAGTAAGTGTCATGATATCATAAGGTTAGAGGCTGCAAGAGATGAAAGCCAGTTGATTCTACCCTGCATTTGTTTTTATTGACTACTCCCCTTTCTCTGTATAGTATTTGTGTTGTGTGTGATAATTCAGAAAACAGTGGCAAACTACTGAAAGTAAAATTGCCTAGACAAATTATGAAAGGCCAGTAAATGGCCAGGTTTTTTTTTCGGCGTCCAACACCTGTAAGGATACGCAACTAGCTATGGATGATAAATTGATTTTCTGCGATTTTTTTTTTTTTTTTTTTTTTTAAATGGCATGCATATAATGCTTATTCCTCTAAGGATTTTTCTTGTTGTTTTGTTTAGGAAAATCTGAAAATGGAAAGTACGATCATGATGGCTTTTTTCTAGGTCATTATGGTGAAAAAGTTAAACCGGATCCACAGTTTGTTTATTAAACAAAAAACATTCAATAGGGTTTGATGTGGTACTTGCCATTTTAACTATTTGATCATGTATATACTTGCAGTGGTTTACTCGTTTTACACAACGATATCTCTTTTCAGCAAAAGTCACCTTTAACAAGTCCATCGAAACAAGTTTCGGTGCCATCACAGGTTAAAGTCAACGGAGCAGAAACAATAGTAGATGCAGGCGATACGGAAACTGAAGAATCTGAAGTGGATATAGAGTGTAATGATCTTGCAAAGGAGGAACAAGTTCTGGCTCGCCATCTCTTGTCTATACACAAAGAAAAGTTAGTATAACCAGAAAGTATTTCTGTGTTCTGAACTGAAGCTAGTATCATCAGTTGTTTGTGTCTTCTGAGGAGATGTTAGTGTCATCTGTTATGTTTATGTGTTCTGAGCAGAAGCTGGTGTCATCTGTTATGTTTATGTGTTCTGAGCAGAAGCTGGTGTCATCTGTTATGTTTATGTGTTTTGAGCAGAAGCTAAATCATTTGTTATGTTTATGTGTTCTGAGCAGAAGCTGGTGTCATCTGTTATGTTTATGTGTTTTGAGAAGCTAGTATAATCTGTTAAGTTTATGTGTTCTGAGCAGAAGCTAGTATATCCTCAGCTGTTTTTTTATGTTCTGAGGAAAAGGTAAATCATCAGATATATTTCTGTATTTTTAGCAAAAACTGTATCATCAGCTGTTTCTATGTTCTGAGCAGTAGCTGTATCATCAGTTATGTTTATTTCTGTGGAAAAGCTGGTATCATCTGTTAAGTCTATGTGTTCTGAGAAGCTAGTATCATCTGTTATGTTTATGTATTCTTAGCAGAAGCTAGTATCAGCTATGTTTCTGTGTTCTGAGCAGTTTTGTTTCTATCCTCTGAGGAGAAGCTAGTATCATGTGTTATGTTTGTATGTTCTAAGAACAAGATAGTATCATCAGTTATGTTTATGTGTTCTGAGGAAAAGCTAGTATCAGGTGATGAAGATGTGTTACATAAAGGGAATATGAAGGTGATGAAGATGTGTTATATAAAGGGAATATAAAGGAGATGAAGATGTGTTATAAAAGGGTATATGAAGGCGATGAATATGTGTTATATAAGGGTATATAAAGGCGATGAAGATGTGTTATATAAGGGTATATGAAGGCAATGAAGATGTGTTATATAAGGGTATATGAAGGCAATGAATATGTGTTATATAAGGGTATATAAAGGCGATGAAGATGTGTTATATAAGGGTATATGAAGGCGATGAAGATGTGTTATATAAGGGTATATGAAGGCAATGAAGATGTGTTATATAAGGTTATATGAAGGCAATGAAGATGTGTTATATAAGGGTATATGAAGCCAATGAAGATGTGTTATATAAGGGTATATGAAGGCAATGAAGATGTGTTATATAAAATTACTATGAAAAAAGGAAATATGAAGCTACTTGACACACCAGCAGTCTAAGATGCCATCAAATGAATTGGTAAAGGAAAATGCTTCATTGAGTGTTAAAGGGCAGACGTAGTTACAAAACTGTCATGCTTTTTCACACCATTTGTATCTGGACATTAGATGCACGACACAAGTTCTTGAAGTGATTCACTTTTACCTTAAATGAATGAACCAATAAATATTGTAACCAATGCTCATTTTTCGTTTCCAGAGACAAGCTAACTTACAAACTGTCAATGTTGGAGAGCAGACAGGGAAGCAGTGATGAGGATGTCTTGTCTGGGGATGATGTTGATTCTGTTTTAGGTGCAGACGCAATGTGTGAAGAGTTTGCTATCAGTTTTCAGCCATCTGGTAAGGAAGGGATTTTCTATAATACAAATTGTTGCACGTATAATTTATGCATATGACTTCAGTTTAATAGTTGTTCCACACTTCATTTATGTTCTCTCAGGGTTTAACCATTTTCCATCAATGACTTGTTACACCAGTGAAGTTGAACAATTGATCCACACTTTGTTTGTCATTTCAGTCAAGTTAAACAATTTTTGCAACCATAACTTAGTCTTAGCACTCTAGTTTAACATAATGCTGCAACCTTCATCTGCCTAAAACACCCTTTGTAAACAGGAGCACTATCAAATGCTGTTGTAATACACACACTAGTTCTGTTGGTGTTGTGTGATTTTGTAGAGCATTGGTTTTTTTTTTTCCTGTTAACTCTTACCTTAGCTTTTAATGTTTTATTTCCCTTTGTTTTCTGAATGAAAGAAATATAATATGTGTCAACAAGAGACAGAATGTAAAATAAGGAAAATCAACAGAAACCAGAATAACACAAATTTAGAGGGGGGAAAAATACATAGCTTACAGAATTTCTTATTTTGACCATGAGAAGTGTGTGAGAAATTACCAATCTCACAGGTATACAGTATTCATTGCATGTTTTCCAGAGCCAGGGTTAAAACCAAGAAAGATGTGTTTTTTTTTTAAAGTATTAACATTAGATTGTAGGTATAGTAAGAAGTGATCTGGCTGACACTCAACATTCAGAAGAAAGACAAGATGGACATATAATCTTACTTTTATTGGTACCATCAGAATTGAACTCTGTGCCATCTTCTGTTGGGGGCTGATGATTGTTCGTTTGACTTCCAAAAATGTATTGTTAAACATAGAAACAGTTATAACTATTGCTCATTTGACTTCCAAAAATGTGTGTGTTAAACATAGAAACAGTTATAACTATTGCTCATTTGACTTCCAAAAATGTATTGTTAAACATAGAAACAGTTATAACTATTGCTCATTTGACTTCCAAAAATGTATTGTTAAACATAGAAACAGTTATAACTATTGCTCATTTGACTTCCAAAAATGTATTGTTAAACATAGAAGCAGTTATAACTATTGTTCATTTGACTTCCAAAAATGTATTGTTAAACATAGAAACAGTTATAACTATTGTTCATTTGACTTCCAAAAATGTATTGTTAAACATAGAAACAGTTATAACTATTGTTCATTTGACTTCCAAAAATGTATTGTTAAACATAGAAACAGTTATAACTATTGTTCATTTGACTTCCAAAAATGTATTGTTAAACATAGAAACAGTTATAACTATTGCTCATTTGACTTCCAAAAATGTATTGTTAAACATAGAAACAGTTATAACTATTGCTCATTTGACTTCCAAAAATGTGTGTGTTAAACATAGAAACAGTTATAACTATTGCTCATTTGACTTCCAAAAATGTATTGTTAAACATAGAAACAGTTATAACTATTGTTCATTTGACTTCCAAAAATGTATTGTTAAACATAGAAACAGTTATAACTATTGCTCATTTGACTTCCAAAAATGTATTGTTAAACATAGAAAACAGTTATAACTATTGCTCATTTGACTTCCAAAAATGTGTGTGTTAAACATAGAAAACAGTTATAACTATTGCTCATTTGACTTCCAAAAATGTATTGTTAAACATAGAAACAGTTATAACTATTGCTCATTTGACTTCCAAAAATGTATTGTTAAACATAGAAACAGTTATAACTATTGCTCATTTGACTTCCAAAAATGTATTGTTAAACATAGAAACAGTTATAACTATTGTTCATTTGACTTCCAAAAATGTATTGTTAAACATAGAAACAGTTATAACTATTGCTCATTTGACTTCCAAAAATGTATTGTTAAACATAGAAACAGTTATAACTATTGCTCATTTGACTTCCAAAAATGTATTGTTTAACATAGAAACAGTTATAACTATTGCTCATTTGACTTCCAAAAATGTATTGTTAAACATAGAAACAGTTATAACTATTGTTCATTTGACTTTCCAAAAATGTATTGTTAAACATAGAAACAGTTTATAACTATTGTTCATTTGACTTCCAAAAAATGTATTGTTAAACATAGAAAACAGTTATAACTATTGCTCATTTGACTTCCAAAAATGTATTGTTAAACATAGAAACAGTTATAACTATTGCTCATTTGACTTCCAAAAATGTATTGTTTAACATAGAAACAGTTATAACTATTGTTCATTTTTGACTTCCAAAAAATGTATTGTTAAACATAGAAACAGTTATAACTATTGCTCATTTGACTTCCAAAAATGTATTGTTAAACATAGAAACAGTTATAACTATTGTTCATTTGACTTCCAAAAAATGTATTGTTAAACATAGAAACAGTTATAACTATTGCTCATTTGACTTCCAAAAATGTATTGTTAAACATAGAAACAGTTATAACTATTGTTCATTTGACTTCCAAAAATGTATTGTTAAACATAGAAACAGTTATAACTATTGTTCATTTGACTTCCAAAAATGTGTGTGTTAAACATAGAAACAGTTATAACTATTGCTCATTTGACTTCCAAAAATGTATTGTTAAACATAGAAACAGTTATAACTATTGTTCATTTGACTTCCAAAAATGTATTGTTAAACATAGAAACAGTTATAACTATTGTTCATTTGACTTCCAACAATGTATTGTTAAACATAGAAACAGTTATAACTAATGTTCATTTGACTTCCAAAAATGTATTGTTAAACATAGAAACAGTTATAACTATTGTTCATTTGACTTCCAAAAATGTATTGTTAAACATAGAAACAGTTATAACTATTGTTCATTTGACTTCCAAAAATGTATTGTTAAACATAGAAACAGTTATAACTATTGCTCATTTGACTTCCAAAAATGTATTGTTAAACATAGAAACAGTTATAACTATTGCTCATTTGACTTCCAAAAATGTGTGTGTTAAACATAGAAACAGTTATAACTATTGCTCATTTGACTTCCAAAAATGTATGTGTTAAACATAGAAACAGTTATAACTATTGTTCATTTGACTTCCAAAAATGTATTGTTAAACATAGAAACAGTTATAACTATTGCTCATTTGACTTCCAAAAATGTATTGTTAAACATAGAAACAGTTATAACTATTGCTCATTTGACTTCCAAAAATGTATTGTTAAACATAGAAACAGTTATAACTATTGTTCATTTAACTTCCAAAAATGTATTGTTAAACATAGAAACAGTTATAACTATTGCTCATTTGACTTCCAAAAATGTATTGTTAAACATAGAAACAGTTATAACTATTGCTCATTTGACTTCCAAAAATGTATTGTTTAACATAGAAACAGTTATAACTATTGCTCATTTGACTTCCAAAAATGTATTGTTAAACATAGAAACAGTTATAACTATTGTTCATTTGACTTCCAAAAATGTATTGTTAAACATAGAAACAGTTATAACTATTGTTCATTTGACTTCCAAAAATGTATTGTTAAACATAGAAACAGTTATAACTATTGCTCATTTGACTTCCAAAAATGTATTGTTAAACATAGAAACAGTTATAACTATTGCTCATTTGACTTCCAAAAATGTATTGTTAAACATAGAAACAGTTATAACTATTGCTCATTTGACTTCCAAAAATGTATTGTTAAACATAGAAACAGTTATAACTATTGCTCATTTGACTTCCAAAAATGTATGTGTTAAACATAGAAACAGTTATAACTATTGCTCATTTGAGTTCCCATTTTGTGTTCACCTACAAATAAAATTACAACTATTCAGTCCTCTATATTTATGCCCACTCTTTACGTTCCCAACTTATGTGTTTTAAAAAAAACCAGGCAATGACCGTGCGTACTTAAAGCTAGATAACAGCTGTGATTACTATAAGAAATTTCAGAAATGCTTTGCTTGTTCATTTATTTGATAACAGAACTCAAAACAGATACCTGGCAGTGTCTATGAAATGCACATGTTGTTTAATTTGTCAAAACTCAAGAACAGTTAAATTGTGGATTGTTGCTTCTTGTTCCTTCACTTGACTTTGGTAGTTCTTGAAGAAAAACCAGAGCATAAAACTGAGTTTAGAACTTCATTGTTCTGTTAACCTACACATTGTCTATGCACTGTAGGTTGCTCTGTGAAGCTGACATGTACTTGATGTTTCCCCTATCTCAGTAACTAGTTGAGGTTCAAACATCACGTAGACAGGCCACCCCAATAATGCTCCATTCCTGTGCCAGTCAAAACCACATAAAATGTCCTTCACATGTTCCATTCCAAAACTAGTGAAAAACATGCCAGTCCCAGCAAAATCTGTGAGCTTACACACACACAGTAGAAGTGCATAAGGTAGCTGTCAGATGTGCCAACACTGAAAGTCCACTACCAGAACTGTAGCTCACTATTGGTGCAAATGGTCAATATTGAAAGTCAGCATTGAACCCACAAAATTACGCACATTCTGAACTCACCATTGGCCACCCACAGCATAAAAAAGAACATTTTACATGAAATCAATATCTAACAGTGTCACACCAAGCGTTGAACTCAGTAGCTGAAATATCCTTTTCTCTGTATGTTTTTTTAGTTTGTCTGAGTAATGTTTCCCAATTACCCACATACTGTTGTTCACATGGTTACCAGCATGCTGCCATTCACAGTTTTCACACGTTGCCATTAATGCCATCATCATCATCATATGTCCTGCCAATTGGCATAGGCACTTATGCGTCTCCACAAATCACTATCCCTGGTTGCCTGGGACAGCTCTCTTGATGATATCCCTCCATGCCATCATTTCAGCCCATCCAGCACCATCTCTCTTGGTCTGCCTCTAAACCCTTTTCCACTGATCTTTCCAGTTGTCACGATGTTTTCCAATGTGTCTCGCCTCATTATGTGACCAAAGAACAGTGTTTGTCTTTTTCTTATTATTGTATATAGAGATCTACTTTTATTAGCTTCTTTCAAGCAATCGTTGTTAGTTACCCTGGCCGTCTAAGGT